GACGGTGTTGGCGGCGGCGGCGGAGAGGAGGGCAGATCAGCAGTACGGCAGCGACGTCCGCGTCGCTGTGAAAGGACGAGGTTCAGAAGGAGTTTAAAAAGGAAAAATCGCCGAACCATCTGACATCTGCCGAAACACCTGGCGCAGTGTTTCTTGTATCTGTCCGGTGATACGCCGCATCTCCTTATCGCTTCATCTTCTGCGCACCTGTGCGGTCAGCGCGGAAAGCTTGGGTCCTACAAACTTGATGAACAACTCCAGCTCCTGAATGCGGCCCACCAGCCTGTACGGGTGTGCCGACGGGCGGACGGAAAGCGGTAAAATAAGGGAACCGGCGAACAGATGTTGGCGGTCGTTGACCAGTAAAGGGTTTTACTGGCCAAGCTCCTTTGCCAAGTCAAAGCCCTTTTGTTCGCCGACACACGTAGGCAGGCAGGCAGGCAGGCAGGCAGGCAGGCAGGCAGGCAGGCAGGCAGGCAAGCAGGCAGGCAGGCAGGCAGGCAGGCAGGCAGGCAGGCAGGCAGGCAGGCAGGCAGGCAGGCAGGCAGGCAGGCAGGCAGGCAGGCAGGCAGGCAGGCAGGCAGGCAGGCAGGCAGGCAGGCAGGCAGGCAGGCAGGCAGGCAGGCAGGCAGGCAGGCAGGCAGGCAGGCAGGCAGGCAGGCAGGCAGGCAGGCAGGCAGGCAGGCAGGCAGGCAGGCAGGCAGGCAGGCAGGCAGGCAGGCAGGCAGGCAGGCAGGCAGGCAGGCAGGCAGGCAGGCAGGCAGGCAGGCAGGCAGGCAGGCAGGCAGGCAGGCAGGCAGGCAGGCAGGCAGGCAGGCAGGCAGGCAGGCAGGCAGGCAGGCAGGCAGGCAGGCAGGCAGGCACCAATACCCTCTTTAGAGACGCGCGTTCCGGCCCCACGGGGAGCCGCCCGGCGGCCCCCGGCAGGTTGGGCTCTGCACAGCAATTCTAGAACAAAACCGCCGACAGAGTTTTTATAGCGCCGAAGTCCCTCCGCTTTACCCCCATCCCACTTTCGTACGGAGCTTTCCACCCTACTCGCACTGCGGAGTGCTTACTGCTGCTCGGGAGATGACGGTGTTGTCGCCGCCGCTGCCCCGGGCGCTGCACCCGGGTCCGAACTCCCCGCAGCGGCGGCAGCGGCGGAGGCGGAGGCGGTGGCGGTCGTACCAGGAAGCTGCGGAAAGGGTCTTTTGAAGGCAGCTGCGGCGCTGCTGCCACCGCCGGCAGCGATCGCGGCGGCGACCGGCGCCTTGAAGTCGGCGCGGGTAAGGCGGCGGCGAAGACCCGTGGGTCGCTGTGTCGCAGCAGCAGCAGCAGCAGCGGGGTTGACGGCTGACGAGGCCATCCAGGAGTCAAAGAGCCGCTCCCGTACGTCCAAGATGTAGCAGGGCACCTGGAGCAGGAGTCCGAGCAGAATGTGAATTCCGAATGTTAAGTCGACATCTAGGAAGTACACGACTAAAATTTCTTAGCAGTTGGCAGCTTCTTACTGTAAGTACTTAGATGATTTATTTCAATCATTGGCAGCAAGGCGGACCAAAGAGTCAAAACTCCCCTAAGCGGTCCCTCACCCGAATATCCGTCAAGCAGTGCACCCCCACGTCCTCCGGGCGCAGCTCCCGTAGCAACGCAAACAGCTGGTTGTTGTCACCCTTTCAGTTGTACGGCAAGGACGAGCAATTAGTTAAGTCGGACACGCAAAAAACATAATTATATCCTTCATGGGTGCGTGGGTGTCACCCGGGGAAAACAATACAGCGCGACGACGGAATGCTATCTTTTGGTAGCAGCATTAGCAGTAGGGCAGTGGGGGCACTGGCAAGCCCGCACCCACGCGACGTGGTGGTCCAGGAAGGGCGCGCCTGTGGAGCCCGGGGATAAAAAACGCCTTGGGAAGCGTTTTTGTGAGCTGGGAGCCTTTCCCTCCAACCCCCTCTCGCCCCTTGTGAGTGTGCAGGCACGACTCTCATGTCGAGAGTGCGTGCCGTTAAAACGCATTTGAGAATTTCCATGCCCCAACCTGCCGTACCTCCATGATATGCAGTACAGACCTGCCGTACAATACGAGCAACCCTGTGACCCTTTCCTCCTTAGAGTCCGCGTACTTGCAGAGAAGCGGCTCCCAGAAGCCTGCCACAAACAAACACCGCACAGCATATCACCGCACAGCATATCACCGCACAGCATATCACCGCACAGCATATCACCGCGGCGAAAAGAACAAACAAACAAACAAACACACACAACGGATACAGCCGCAAAGAGAGACCATGATATAATGTACGACGCAGACTGCGGAAAGATCTCAGGATATATATATACATATATATCATTCGTACGAACTGCAAAGAAAATCAGCAGTTCGAGAAACCACCACCACTAGTGTACACCGACCATCACGTCGATTAGGAAAGGGCAAACCGATACATCTGCAGAGCAGCACATCTAAAGGCAGTCAGCAATCCTCAATTCCGCGTGGAGGCTCCCGGCAAGGATGGAAAAGGCATGTTGAGCCTCTGTATATATATAACCTCTGTAAAGCGCCCTTCTTCCTTACTGTTCTCCTACTCCGCGGGCCGAGGACGCGACCATCAGTGAGGCGACTTCTGCGCTCAGCCATGACCGGCCAGGCCGTTCCCACCCTAAGGCCATCCCTCCCCCACAAACCCCAATGGATGGCCTCTGGGTTGGGCGCTTTCCCCCCTGCCTGTGCTTCCCTGTCTGTTCCCCAAGCATCCTGTCTGAGCTTTGCTTAATGACGGTCGTGAAGGCATGTCTTCTATAAAATGCTCCAGTCCTCCTCCTGAGCCACCTACGTTTGTGCCATTCGATGGTTGCCCAGGGCATGCCGGACGTCGCCACACCAGCTGACGACGCTGTAGCAGGCCCAGATCCGGGTTTTGATCCAATTCCGAGGGAAGGACCGGATCCGAATTCAGATCCAGGTCCAGGCCCGGAGTTAGGTTCCGGAGCAGGTTCCAACATTGCGCAAATCACC